ATATTTTAACCTCCGTTTGCGGTAAATCTGCTGTACCCGTCTTCGTAAATCCGCGAGTTAAACCCGTATATCTTTGGCATCGATCGCGAGTCCCCCTACCTGCTGCTTCATTTCATTTTGGAAGTAATTATTCAATATTTAGAAAAAGGAGAAAAATGAGTCGACAATAAAATGAAATTTTCCAATGCTTTATTCAAAAATATCATAACAAAATATAAGAATACGAATTGACATTTGATCACGTTTTGTGATTAATGAATTTCTACAAGCAACTACAATATTAGCCGTTTACTTAGAGCGTCATATTTATTCCTAACTAAACTAAACTTATTTTGCACGAAGTAGTACAAAATAGTCTACAAAAGATCGATAGTTTTCTATTTCTATCAGTATAGTAGTATTTAGAACTAAATAGTTCTAGTGTTTGTACTCTATATGTTTTATCTAATATTTATTCAATCAATATAATGCGTTGATCCTATAGACTTACGGTTCTAAATAAAGATTAGAATCTAGAATTGACTGAAGCATTGACAAGCCGGGTACATTGGCTTTCCTTGAAGCAAGTCGAAACAGAAAAAGCTATCGCGCGTCTTTTATATCCTTATCCAAAACATTCTATAAAATTAAGTCACAAAAGAACAATATAATTTTTCACTTAAAAATCTTTGTCGTTGAGTATACGTTCCTTTTAGTCGGCTGGGGTCACGTGATTACAGTCTACCGCAAAGCATCATGGTTTCTGTACTTTTACTGTCACACTCTTACGGTGGTCCTTCACGCTTTCTCCGTGAGTATTCCACGCAGTCACGTAGAACTTGTAAGTTTTCCCGCTTTCAATGTCGCCAGCCTCGTAGTGATGTACGTCTTCGTTCACGTGATACGTACGTGACGTCACTTCTTGTCCGGCTTGGTCCAGTTCAACTCTGTGAACAGAATACATGAGCACAGGGTATCCATGGCTCTTTGGCTTCTTCCAGTAGACATTGATTGTCAGGTGGGTTATCTGTGTACTGAGTGGTACGGGGGAATGGGGTCGCACTAAAACAAAATAATCATAAATAAATAAATGAAATAATAAAATTAATGAACGAGGATGGAGTGAGGAAGAAATGAAGAACCCAAATTATAGAATAACTGTTATAAATGTCGCGTTCTGATTGGTTTGGAGCGCGTGCTTTATGAGAGCACATTGCACGCGCGCGCACTTTCCGTTGCGTCATTCCTATCTATTATTGTAATTTGTATTTTATAAAAGAAATAAAAAACTTGCTTGCTGTGCTGTGCTGTATGCAGTCATAAAGCACTTGGGGGTTGGCAGAACACTCGAGAAGTGTCGAGAAGCACTCCGCTACGCATCGTGCTTCTCCTAACACTTCTCTCGTGTTCTGCCAACCCCCGCGTGCTTTATGACAGCACACAGCACGCGCGCGCGTTTTCTACTTCTTCAACAATGATTAGGCATCAGTCTATTATTTACTATCAATAGACGTCACTTCCAGTAATATCTGTGTTTTGACTGAGGGGCAACTAATTGGAAGCTTGTATGTGTATTTTGATTACTTGTTTCTGGTTTAGTAGAAGTAGTAACTATGAGGACAGTCGCTACGTGTATATTAATTGCCCCAAAACTAAAATCATGTGCTCGTTAAAAAGGAATTACCGATTGGATGAATAGATGATAAGATGTATGAGTTGATAAGCGAATAAAGACATGAAAAAGAGAAAGAAAGAGCAAGCAAGAGATCTATTTAAACTCTCCTATCAAACACTTACACATGACTGTTACAAAAGCTTCAACAGTAGTCATGGATACGTCATTCTTGGCGGTGCAGATGTACTTCCCAGCATCGCTGAGCTTAGCACTTAGAATCCATAACTCTTTACCAGATACATACGAGGGATTAATGGTACCACTAGCCTTTGACCAGGAAACGTTGGGAGCAGGATCGCCTGTGGCGTTACACAGGAGAAGTATTGGTTCCCCTTTGGTGACTGTCTTGTTCTCAATAGGACTGATGGATGGGCCAACTATGTAACAGAATTTTGGGAGTTAAAAAATGAGAATAGCAAGACTACATCACACACTTTGTTGGCTGGAGGGGGGAAGTATCAAATCAATTAAAATAGTTATTGTTAGTTTACTCGCGTCATAAAGATGCAGCACGTTAATAACAATTGATTGGCCAATCAAAATATTTCAGTTTGATTAGTTAATCAACTGCATGGTATTTAATTTGATTGGCTAATCAAATACATCTTTGATTTGATTGGCTAATGAAATTAATCTTTAATTTGATTGGCTAATCAAATAAATGTTTGATTTGATTGGCTAATGAAATTAGTCTTTAATTTGATTGGCTAATCAAATACATCTTTGATTTGATTGGCTAATGAAATTAGTCTTTATTTAATTGATTGGCTAATCAAATACATCTGATTTGATTGGCTAATCAAGTAAGTCTTCATTTGATTGGCTAATAAAATACTTATGTGATTTGATTAGCCAATCAAATTACTTTTTGAATTGATCGACCAATCAAAACACGCAAATCAATGCATCTTTTAAAATTTGATTGGACGATCAAAGCTATCGTAATAAAATCAATATTTTTGTACAAGTTTTCTGTCAGTTGTTTGGCGAGATTTCAATTCCTGAAAAACAAGGAAAAAAAATTGGTTAGTACTGATGCTGTTTCTGTATAGCTGTCATGAGATAACAGCCCGCATTTGTTCCTAGCAGTACTCAAGCTTGTCTAATGGTAGCTAAATTATCAAAAACAAGCTAGTGGGCTATTACAAATAACGCAAGTGTTCTGACTGACTAAACTATATGCTATAAAAATCGCCTGTTTTGAAATGATAAAATGCAATAAAAATCTATTTATTTCCGTCATTTTCAAATTAAATACTGTCGAGCAAGTTTAAGTTTGTTTATATAAAAACAATTAGACGTCTCATTATCACGAGCTGAGAATAACAAATATTAGAGAATATCGTGTTTGGAAAACCGAAAGATTCTAGCCCTCCCAACTAAAAAGGGCTCTTTCCATAGTATTAATGGACGGACTATTAGATAAATGAGAAGGGGGGTGCGCTATAAATCTCCAAAACAATATCGAGCAAGCACTTCACCTACGAAAAAATATCGCGCAACCTATCCTTTCAGTAATAGCGYAGCGCAACCGTGACGTCATAAAAACGAAGACAAAGGCGAAATTCGGACAAACAAACTTACAAGTTTACTTTCAGCAGATAATTTTCACAGCCGAACGCAGTTGATCTTAGTTTACATGGGTTATTATTGTAACTTTAAGTAAAAATAATAAAATCGGTTCGTATAATCCTCGTAGCGGTTAAACAGAATGCAATGTTTGTCCGAATCTTTAAGCTATTTTTAGAATCAGTGCGCTGCGCTATTAAGAAATATCCTGGAAAGACACGAAACAAACCCCCGACCCCTCCCCTCTCAATTATCCCTTAAAATAACGGAATTTATCGGGAAAACACCAGCGTGTACCCTCGACTCTGAGACTATCGCTACTCTTGTATATATTTGAAGATACATATCTTCCTATTTTATCTATGCAACATATTCGAATAAACATTTTAAAGCTAGTTAAAACTACAATAATTTTCTTTTACTCATTGCTTTGGGAAAATACTCTGCAAATGCTCTTTGTGATCTACGTTTTGACAAACTTGAACCGTGGAAAGCAATACTGAGAAATATTCAAGAACTCCAGATCCTGAAAAAAGCCAACCAAGTATGGTGGAAACGTAGATCAAAAAGAAACATTTGCAGAGCATATTCCCAAAGAAATAAGTAGACAAAATGAAAAACCCCTGCAGAAACAAGGTTTCAGACATACAATACAATGAGTTTCTAGAAGTAGTTTTTGAATCATTTCACCTACCCACGAGATGTTTTGAAAAAAAGTTTCGTACTGTATGCCAACATTAATTCAGCGAGAATTTTCTTTGAAGGAAATAACTTTGACACCTTGGGCGAGGAGGCATCCACAGAATGTAAATATAGTGATATGTCGTGAAGATTTATAGCATTCTATATTTCCTGTATTGCTGACTCCACAGACTTTGAATATTCATTTTACATCTTTGACTCTTTCTCTGGCACATGTTCAAGATTTCCAAACATTTTTTCCGAGTCAAAACTCAATTTCGAAATTACACGTGTCAACATCCTTATACTACATGACATGAATTGTGACAAATATTTGTGTTTCGCTTATAAATGAAAATTTCATTTCAAAATAAAGAAAATAGAGCTTTTTTTTTGAGCGTACTGTTTTACCATTTCGCTGAGCTTCATTCATTTTAGTATAACTCCTTAAATATTACCGTTGAATAACCACATAATTCTCAAGGGAATTGCCTAAATATGGTACATTTATGCTGAACTCTGAAAAACTTCAAGTTCTAAAAATAAACTTGGCTGAACAAAATAATATTTTGGTATACTTTTGATTTATACAGCAAATCAGAAACCTCGCTTATTTTCAGTGCACATGCAAAAGACTTTCCGAAATTTCTTTTTTATTCAAATTTGTATTTCCTCAAGGAAATAGTAAGACAATATAGTAGCTTTCGCTATCACGTGATGGCTGCCATGACAGGATGTACAATAGATTCTTTTTTTCCCTGGGAAACTGAATTCTTTCTCATGTAAATCAGATTCAATCACATACGATTGTCCCTGCCTCCTGTTATGGATGCTATCACGTGATGCTGCAAAACCTATTTTGTTAACTGAACTAAAAAAACTATGCAAGGTATTCTGGAATTTGTAGTTAATGACGCCAATTAATGATAAATAAATAATAAAATTTCAGTTTAAAACTCCTGGAATAGTGTGTGTGAGAATGTGACTCAAAACCCCTTGAGATATGAATGACAATGAAACAGTCGCCATCTTGGTTGATGTAACAAGAGAACTAATGAGGAATGCTTTGTTATCGTCAACCAACATGGCGGCTATGACGTAACATGAACACCAAGAATAGGATACCAATGAAACAGCCACCATGTTGGTTGTTCTAACAAGAGAAGCTAATGAGACATGCTTTGTTATCGTCAACCAAGATGGCGGCAATAACGTGACATGCACCTGCTGTATCGCTTAAAGTTCCTTTCCAAGCTTCATCAAGCGAAAAAGTAAAGCGAAAGCATTCGTCAATCATCACGATATATTTTTTTCGTTGTTTTTAATAATACAAGCAAGGTAAGAAATCCATCAATAGGAAGATGTATGCATATATTATAAATATTGAAAATGAAGAATCCGTACAATAAGAGCCGTATAAAACCTCTTTTTGAATTCGTAGAATACCGCCGAGTTCCTCGATTACAGACTCATTTACCCAGGGTGAGCCTCGTGTAAGCGTTTAAATATTCACAAAAACCAACGGTAAAGTAAATATACAACTTCAACAACATCGAACTTTGAAAATCCACAGGCTAATTTTGGGCAACAGAGACTGACTCGAAACTGAAGTATAACGTCAGGTTCGAAGTTCATACAAAGTTCATACGAATATCAGGTTCTACGGACGTCTTAAGAGTATCGCAAAGTTATGGTATTTTTATTATAATTTTCAAATGCTTTTCAAGTCATGGCTTCGAATCCTTGCAGCTTCATGTATTACTTCCTTATTTGACCGCTTATTTATTCATTTCTCACCTCGAATTCTATTAACTGTTCTAATGTTGAGAAAAAACTGGGCCGAGTTGACATTGTAGTGCATTGTGGGACTGTTTAAGGAGACATATTTCTAAGATTACGTCTATTTCGACCCCACAATGCACTGCAATGCCATCTCGACCCAGTTTTCCCCCAACCTTGGAATGGCTACGATTGTGTTGCTTTTTCAGTCTTGTTTGATTTGCTGAAAACTTTCCGCTTGCAGTTTGCCCGTAAATACGTCGTCGTTTGTATAAGAATAAATCTAATATGGCGTTACCTTTTTACTGGTAAAAAAAAAAAACCCGTGAAAATCGGGAAATATTTAACTATAAGCGAACGAGGTCGTTGACGCTATAACAACCGTTTTAAATCGCAAAACCTTGAGTCAAAACTATCGAAAATAGTTAGTGTCATTTTGAATTCGTAAAATATCGTTAATACATAAAAAATACTTGCTTATAGACTCCTTAACTCAGGGTTAGGCTCACTTTAGCGTCAAAATATTCACAAATACCAACGGTAAAGTAAAGAATGCACAACTTCAWSAATACAAGCAGTTTGATATCCCATAGACCTTCACTGGAACTACCAGAATTTTCTTCACGAAATAGAGCCTAACCCTGTACAACAAAAAAGATGTTGGAAACTGAAGTAAAATAGATGTACTATTTCCCAATATTTGCCAAAAGCTGTTCTTGCAGATATTTCTCAGCCTCGTCTTGTCCTCGTGTCTTGTGTCCTCCTTGCTCTTGTTTTTCGTTTTTCACAGTTTCTTCCAACTTTTTGAGAGCGTTTTGGTATTTTTCAACCAGTGGTTGGATCTCCTCGTCTTTGAATGTTTGTTTAGGGATCTTGTCTCGTCCTGTTTTTTGGATAAGTTCTTTGAAGTGGTGAACTTGGTCATTGTGAAGCAGCGTGAAGGCAGTTCCTGTAAAACAAGCAAAACAGGATTTTAGGATATTCTTTCCCGAGGGATTGCTTTCTTGTTTACAGAAGGATTTGGTGCAAATGATGGTGTTCATCGACTTTATACAGGGAGATAGAAGGATGTGCTTTTGTCATGAAAGAAGGACATGAGAATCTAAAAAAATAGCGCGACATACTCTAGATTGACAATAGACCTATCCCGAATTCGCTTGACTGACCAGGAAACAATGGTTTGAAGTTGAGACCGAACTTGATTCTTTTATTCATCAAGTTCAACCTCGACTTGAAACCACTGTTTCGTGGCCAGTCAAGCGAATTCAGGATAGGTCTATTCTCCCATCCTTCTTTCTACTTAACATTCCCCGGTCTATCGTCGTACGATTTGAATACGTCAAAAACTGTACCAATTCTACAAAACTTCAAATTTCATCCCTACCACGAAGCATTTTTTGACTTACGAATACACGGATAGGAGTATTTGTGGGTCTATTGTATCACTTGGTTTATTTGCATAAAAAAACTGTTATAGTCCTCCAGCCTGCTTTGCGCGCTGTGTTATGAAACCAGATAATCCAGTTTACGAGTCATTTTCATAAAAAGCTGCAAGCTAAACCAGATAAACCAGTTTAAGAGTCAATAGACCTCATCGGCTCGGATGTAATATTTTCCCATTTCAGACCACGTGTCATTCCCTAGAGTATCATTTCTTTGTTTAAGGTTTGCGCTCGGTTGCACATGAGAAGACAAATGAATATGGATACAACTCAAACAAAGAATCTTTTTCTCAAGAGAATGACACGTGGTCTGAAATGGGAAAACATTACCCCAAGCCGAAGAGGTCTATTGTATAAAAAACTGCGAACTAAACCAGATAAACCAGTTAGTTATGGCTCGTGTTTCGAATGAAGTAATTTCCCTTGCGTTTGCGTTCCCCCTTTGAACCAAAATATACTACTTCTTAAATCTTTCCAACAAATCTGCTTTTTGTAAACATTATTATTCATATTTCTTTATAACAAATTCCCTTTCTATTGGTTTATATCTTCGCTTATTACCGTATCCTTGAGTCGTCTCACTGAGACCTTTGATTTCTTTCTGTCTCGTATTTATTATCATTTACCTTTATTCCCTCCCCTAGCTGTACGCCTCCCTCGACAAATGTATCTATCCTAGTATTATCATGTTCAGACATCATAGTACACATTACCATACTACTGCTCTGCCCCTTATTAACTATCATTTACCTTCATTCCCTCCCCTTGCTGTACGTCCCACACGATGAATGTATCTATCCTAGTATTATCATGTTCCGACATCACTGTATACTTCACCATACTACTGCTCTGCCCCTTATTAACTATCATTTACCTTCATTCCCTCCCCTTGCTGTACGTCCTACACGATGAATGTAAGTCTTGACAAACTTCGGTGCATCGTAGCTGATAACATAAGACACATTATCAATATCCATTCCTCTGGCCATGGCGTCTGAACAGATTAGTAGATGTATGGAACCACTCTTGAAGTCTCTCAGGATTCCATGTCGTTGTTGGGCGTTAAGATTAGAGGAGTATTCCGCTACCTCGATACCACCAAAAAGCTTGATGAGAAGACACAATCTGTCATACAAATAACAAGCGAAAGTTATGAGCTATTCGTAAGAGAATTGGTTAGTAAAATAAAGACGTCATACAATTTTACCCGATCATTGAGAAATAGCACTTCTTTCGCTCTGTGTGGTTTTTTTTTTTTTATTCAAAAAGGCTTTATTTCACGTTTAGATGATTTTATTGAAATTTTTGATGAATCCCCATACATTTCCTTATAACAGGACACCACAGAAACCAAGCTTGGGCTACCTGTGCTGCTGCATGCTGATAGTAATGATGATGATAATGATGATGTTGATGCTGATGATGGTGATATTTATAATGATGATGATACAAGTGATGATGAAGATGATGATAGTGACGATGCTGATATTAGTAATGATGATGTTGATACTGATCATGATAGTAATGATGACGAAAATGTTGATCATGATGATGATGATTCTGATGATGCTGTTGATAATGACGATGATGCTGTTGGTGATGATGATGATGCTGTTGGTGACGATGATGATGCTGTTGGTGATGATGATGATGCTATTGGTGATGATGATGATGTTGTTGGTGATGATGATGATGGTGATGATGCTGATGGTGTTAATGATGATGATGATGCTGATGGTGATGATGCTGATGGTGTTGATGGTATTGAT